TTATCGAAGAGTCCCATAGTCAGTGGTCAAGCCCGATTGTGTTGGTGCCCAAACCCGATGGCACAACTAGGTTTTGTAATGACTTTCGCTAGCTGAATGGGAGATCCAAATTCGATGCATACCCCATACCTCGTATCGATGAGTTAGTTGACCGCCTGGGCAATGCCCGATTTTTGGCCACCCTTGATTTAACCCCTTGCCAAAGATGCGAAAGAAAAGATGTCATTCTCTACACCAGAGGATCTGTTTCAATATACAGTTCTTCCTTTTGGACTGCATGGGGCACCTGCCACCTTCCAGCATCTGATGGACAAGGTCCTATGGCCCCATACCAGTTATGCAGCGGTATGCCTGGATGATGTGATTATTCACACCCCCCGACTGGGAAACCCACTTAGGAAAGGTGGAAGCGGTTCTGGACACGCTAAGACAGGCTGGCCTCACAGCTAACCCAGCCAAGTGTGCTATAGGGCTAGCCGAGGCTAAATACCTTGGCTACATTGTAGGAAGGGGCATGGTCAAGCCCCAACTAAACAAACTAGAGGCTATCCAAAATTGGCCCTGGCCGAATCGGAAAAAGCAAGTCCGGGCATTCCTGGGTGTGGTGGGGTACTACCGACTATTTATTCCCCATTTTGCTACCAGAGCGAGTCCCCTGACAGACCTGATAAAAGCCCGGGGTCCAGACATGGTGAAGTGGACAGATGCGGCAGAGAAAGCATTCATGGATCTACAGACAGCGCTTTGCATGCTTATAGTCATGCTTATAGCCCCAGACTTCAACAAAGAATTCATTTTACAAACAGATGCATCTGAAGTAGGATTGGGAGTTGTCCTATCGCAGATGGTTGGAGATAAAGAACACCCAATCCTCTACCTCAGCAGGAAACTCCTCCTGAGAGAGCAGAAGTATGCCGTGGTTGAGAGTGCCTAGCTGTGAAATGGGCCATGGAAACACTACGTTATTACCTTCTGGGATGACGGTTTACCCTTGTGACCAACCATGCACCCCTCCAGTGGATGCAGCCAATGTAAGAACACCTGCGGCCAATCAAGAAGCTGCTAGAATCAATTGAGGCAGGCTAATCAGGGCACCTGGGTTTTAAAAAGGAGCTCACTTCCGTTTGTGGCGTGCGTGTGAGGAGCTGGGAGCAAGAGGCACTAGGAGCTGAGAGTGAGAACGCGGACTGTTGGAGGGCTGAGGAGTACAAACATTATCAGACACCAGGAGGAAGGTCCTATGGTGAGGATAAAGAAGGGGTTGGGAGGAGGCCATGGGGAAGTAGCCCAGGGAGTTGTCGCTGTCACACAGCTGTTCCAGGAGGCACTCTAGACAGCTGCATTCTATAGGGCTCTGGGCTGGAACCCAGAGTAGAAGGCGGGCCCGGGTTCCCCCCAAGCCTCCCAACTCCTGGTCAAACACAGGAGTTGTCGACCTGGACTGTGGGTTCAGAAAAACGGCCAAGCTGAGGGCTGCCATGAAGCTCCAAGGCGAGCAAATCTGCCAATAAGTGCAAGACCCACCAAGGTAGAGCAGGAACTTTGTCACACTGTTTACAGGTATTAATTGAAAAGTAGCATTACCATAAGGTTTATCATCTGTGTCAAAATTCTTAGCCCCAAAACTTAACATTAATACCAAAGTTTTTGGGTGTTTACAAGTATCTTTATGATACCACGCCCTCTGTTCAGATATTCTAGTTTGAGGTTAGTTTATTCATTTCCCATGTAATTAGTCACTGGCTTTTCCTTCCCTCCAGTGTTCCTTCTGTGTGAGCTCTTAATTTAATCATGTTTCTGGAATTTTGGTGCCTCAGGATCTGGCAAGATAGGTGTTCAGGGGGATCCTGCACATTGGCTGGACCTTTGGGGAGTGGTCTCCCAACCCCATGACTGTACATATGCAGAAAAATCCAGCTCCCCTCTGAGCACTGTGTCCTTCCCTGCCCCCTAGAGGGCTGTGATCTGTGCTCTCTGGGCTAGGTGTTTTTACCCTTTGATCAGATTCACCTTTTCCCAGCAGCTCTTCCATAACTCCTCTCTGTGTCTCACAAGTCTGGGGGAAAACACCCCGTTCTCTGTCAGTTGGGTCATTTGTATTCTGGCAAACTACCACCTGGCAATTTCCTGGTCTCAACTCATCTGCTGTGACAGGCATTGGAGTTGCATCTTGATGTAAAGAGACACAGTTACTTTCCAAAAACTCATCAGAAATAGCATCCTGAAAAATTGGGACCTGGATTGGGGTACCCTCCGCCACCCCGTCTCTGTCCCTGAGAAGTCAGCTGTGTGACTGCTCCCCTCTGGGAGGTCAGTTACACAGTTCCTTCTCAAAACCTGGGTCACAGGCTGAGTGCCTGGGTGCACAGATGCTGACCCAGCCATCCTCCTAGTGTCCTGGGCCTCCTGCCTCAAGTGACTAGTGAGGAGACATTCCTGTACCCCCACTATTCCTTCCCCCGTTTCCTCCTCTGGGCCTCCTCATAAAACACATTTCTCTGTGCTCTGTAAGAAGGAATCCATCTCTTCATCTGCAATACTCTGCCAGCTAACAACTGGGACAGTTTCCTTAATTACAGATGACATCTCTCCTGCCCCTGTCCCTGAGGGCATGTTGCCTTCTGCTGGTAAGGAGCTAGTCTCAGCCTTTCCCATACTTGGAAGCACCCTGCTTCCCTGTGTTACAGAGTCACAGGAATCCTCACCACCTGAGTGGTTTCTGAGATCCCCCTGCCCCTTCTCTGGGATCTTCTCTGGGACACATTGCTATATGCTCCCTAGAGTGTGGTTTTTTTCCTCTGCTTCAGCTGTCACCTTGTGGCAGCTAATAACCTGGACAGATCTTTCCCTGGAAGGCATTACACCCCCATCCCTTCCTGATGTGGTGTTACTTCCAGCTGCAGTGCAGGAGTTGGTCTCATCCACCCTCTCACCTGGAAGCATGTGGCTTCCCCCAGCTGCAGAAGAATCAAGGAGACACTCTCCCATTCTCTCAGCAATTCCTGAGACCTTCCCCTTTCCCTCGGGGATCCCAGCATAACACTCCCTCCTGCTGCAGGTAAATACTTTAACCTGAGCTACATGGAAAAAATCATTACCAGGGAGCAGGTCGAATAGAAGGTGTTCCATTACCCCCCCAGTCAAAACACTTTCCAAACTTTCCCAAACCACATGGATTTTAGCTAGTGGTATGAGGAATTTGCTTTCACCCACCCCCACAATCTCTGTCATTTGGCCAGGCAACATACTGGCCTTTGGGACCACACTCTGCTTAACCAGAGAGATCTGAGCCCCTGTATCCCTCTGCCTCAAGTATTCTCTGCCATCAATTTGGACAGCCATAACGTGATCCATATCTGGTTCTGCAGAGGCTAACCTCACAGAGCCAATATGATAGGCTTCAATTGATCGGGGGCTTTCTGTGCTGAGGACAACGGAACTAACATGAGCTAGTGGTTGCCTGCTTCCTCCTAGCACAGGGCATTTATTCCTCAGGTGATCAGTGGAATTACACTGACAGCGCCTTTTGGGTTCTTCTGTTTTTACCAGCGATTTGGAGTGGTGGGGGTTAGAGGAATTTTTTGGGTAAGAGAGTGTTTAGGCTCCCAACCCCCTTCTCTTTTCCCAGGGGCAAAATGAGATCCTCCCTTCCCACCAGTTTTAAACCCCTCTTTCTGTGGCCTACCCTCAATAGATGCCTGATTCTGTTAAAAGGCATGAGATTAAAAAAGCCATCTCCTCCACAGACTCAACATCTTTGTCCCACAGACACTGCTTTACATCAGCTTTACATGTGCATAGGAAATGCTTTTGTGGAACAAGATCCAACATTCCCTCAAAACTTGCCACCTCTCTACCCCTCACCCATTTTCCCAACAGATCTGTTTACATACTCCCCATTACTCATACCAATATCCCTCTTAAGAGTCCTAAATTTAACTCTATATGTTTCAGGGGTAATCTGAAAACTTTGCAAAACAGTATCTTTAAATTTGCAATAGCCTAAAGCAGCTTCAATAGGCATTCCATTGAATACATTTCAAGCTTTACCAGTTAATTTTGTAATCAGGGTAGGAACTCTATCAGGGATTTCATGTATTACACACAGCCTTTCAAGGTAGTCAGATATTCTGCAGTATCATTGGTCTCACTGTATGCAGGACATGAGTGTTCCCATTTGTGGATTTTTGGAGTGATGGGACATGTTGGGGTCGGGGGGTTCTGCTTCTGCTTCTCTAGCAGGTCCAGCTGGTGTTTTTGCTCTCTCTGTCTTTCTTTCCCCTCTCTCTCTCTCTCTCTCTCTCTCTCTTTTACCTCCAGTTCTTGCAATAATCTCCGGTGCTCCCTCTCCTTTTCTGCAGACTGAAGCCTGAAAAGCTCCAACTTCACAATCACTTCTTTGCTTTCACTAATTTTCCTGGTTTCCTGTTCTTACTTGCCTTTCCCGAAATAAGCAAACAGAAAGTAACAAAACTGTGACCTCCTCCTGACTGTCCTTAGCCACTGCACTTAAGACTCACTTAAAATCACAAATATCAGTGCTTAAAGTGTGAACTTCACTTGGAGTAATAAGCCATACATACACTCTGCTCACTGCACCACTGTGAATGTTCCCCACTGGTGTTATCGGGACGTGATCTGCTAGGCCTCTCCAATCCTTGACTCTGGGAGCCAGCCTTACCCTGCTTTGCTGTGAGAACCCCCACTCCTGGGCTGTTCACGCACAGCCTCTGTTATGTAAGCTGCTAGCCAGTATCTCTGATCCCAGACACAACCCTAGGAACCTCTGTCTTACAGCGTCTGGTAATGCCCACTGGACGCTGCAAGCTTATATAGGTTTGTCAATTTAACAAAAGAATTGATATGTACCAGGTTTGTTATCCCAAGGGGAGCCTCTGACACACTTCAAACCAGACACACTGCTTCAGGAAGAATAAACAGATTTATTAGCTCTAAAGATAGACTTTAAGTGATTATAAGTCAAAGCATAATAAGTCAGATTTGGTCAAATGAAATAAAAGCAAGACACATTTTAAGCTGATCTTAACACTTTCAATGTCCTTAGATGCTTCTCACCACAGGCTGGCTGGTTACTTTTCAATCAGGCTCTCTGCTTTGATCAGCGCTTCAGTCGCTTGGTGGTGGTGATGTCTGTAGATGTAGGTGGAAGAGAGAGAGCCAGAATGGCAAATGTCTCTCCCTTTTATCCTATCCTTTCTTCCCTCATGGCTTTGCTTCCCCCCCTTCCCCCCGCTTCAGTCAGGTGAGCATTTCTGAGTCTCTCCAAGCAAGGTTGAGCAATTCCCCTGGTGTGGCCTCATGCAGGTGAGTCATTGTATTGTTAGCTCCCTTGGTGGACAATGGCTGTTGATGGGTTGACACCCCGCCCGGGCGTTGGTTACTTTCCTTGCTGTTGCCTCTCGGGAGCTAATATCTGGTGGATTTCCCCAATTTACAGCATTTTTTAGTGACAACCATACTACACAATTCTAATAACTTCATATTGTTATACTTATTAGAAGCACACAGGATCTTTTTCAGGGGAAAAGGCAATATGCTCTGTTTGTTGAAGATACAACAATTAGCATAAGCATTCAATTGCACACACACACACACATGCATACACTGTCCTACCAGTCGATATTATAGTTACCAGTCCAGGGTCCGGATCAATCTAGTGGCCAGCTAGGTTGATCATGGGTAGGGAGGAGCTGTATTCTGTTGGTCGCAACATAATGCTCTGGGGAATCTTGGCAGGACAAACCCAAAGTTTCATGGCAAGGCACCCTGTTTATATCGTGATGATTTTTTTTTTTTTCATTGGGTCTAGTGAGTTTTTGAATGCATATTTTTTGGTCCAGGTTTTGGTGCATGTGTCCGGGAACCATAGGTTTAATTTACTATGGGGTATTGGACAGTTTTCCACCATAACCATTAGTATTGTTTCTGTTTTAACAGGCTTATTTTACTGATATGGTAATTGTGGGTAGGTGGAACTCCAGGTGTTACTTTCATAGGGACCCTCTATTTGAACCCCTATTTGAGTTGGCTAGTATTTTTATTATACCATTCCATAAGGATTACTGGATCACAGGTAGGAATCCATGATTGGTTGGCGGGGAGTGAATTATTCCTTAAATATTGGCTTATAAGGAGGGCCGCATTTTTTTTTTAATTATCAGGGCACTAAAAAGTTCCCAGAAGCAGGTGAAGCCAGACCTTACACTGGAGTCTCATTTTTTGTGGATTAAAATTGCGGTGGTGAAGCAGCCCCTCGTGCTCGGGTTCCGGGATGTCCTCCTCTGCAAAGAATTCAAACATCATTATTCATGTAAACAATTTAATTTGTGAAACATGGACGCATTGCCGTTTGTTTTTGTTTTTTTAATGTGGTATACCAATGGGCTAAGGTGATCCTCTATGGAGTAAGGGCCTATCCATTTTGATTCTAGTGAGTGACCCCTTTTCCCCAGTTTAAGGTTCCCTTTTTTAATGTTTTGTAATAGTGTGGCGGCCAAGGCCATGTTATTAGCTGCCAAACGTTCATTTATTTTTAACAAAAGGCTGTGATTTATCAGGGAAACACAGGGCTGGGGCTGTAAGAGCCTTCTGTTTTAGCAGGATTAAAGTGGAGTCCTGCTCTTTTCCCCATTCCCATTTTCTTTCTCTCTCTCTCTCTCTCTCTCTCTCTCTTTTTTATCAGTTTCCACAATGGGTGAGTTATTTTAGCATATTTATAAATGGGTGGTCTAAGAAAATTGAATCCTCCTAGCAGTACCCTTAAAGAGTGGGCATTAGTAGGGGCCAGCATTTCTACTAGTGCCCTTACCTTCCTCTGATCTACCTGTCTCCCTTCTTGTCCTTTAGTTTCACTTCTTTGTGTTGCAATTTTTGGGCTGTTCTTTTCTTCCTTTATCAGTTAAGTAATTTACATTAACACAGGTGCTTTTTGGCTTGCTTTTGGATTTAAAGCCATTAGCAGCTTAGAGACTCTGTCTTAAAAGGGACACAATCAACTTCCACCAGAGTTTTGATTAGTTTTCACTTTTAACTCCTGCTTCTAAAACACACAGCAATCTGAAAAAGAAAACACAACCTATTGTGGCTCCCTAATAGGATTTTAATTAAGTAGTATGGTATGTTTTTACATTTCTTTTACCCCTTCTACAATATACACTGTATATATTCTGGAGAAAATGTACATTCCTTCCATAGTTTAACTTGTATGACATTAGCCATATTAATTTTTACGTAAGGTGTAACTCTTTCTTTTGTGCTCACAATAGTTTTTTTATGTACTCTTATCAAAGAGACAGTTTGATTACACAGAGCCACCTTAAGGCTCAGTGTGGGGCACTGTCTGGTTTTTTTTTTTTTTCTTAAATTTCTTATTTTTTTACTACAGCTCTTATTTGCTATTTTGTTACCAAAAAACAAATCCAGAATTTTTTCCCATTCTCCTGGTTTTGACTGCCCTGCTCCAGTCTTGACTTTGGTCTTTTAAAAAGATATTGAACTTATAAAGCATTATGGTACCTTAAGGGTTAAACACTAAATACCAGATCAAAAAACACTAGTTACCTGTGTCTGGCAAAAAGTGTTCCTCGGTTTTGCAACTTTGAATGAAAGATTCAAATGGATTTTAGTGGTATTATTTAAAAACAAAACCAATTCATCTTAAACTCACAAAACAAAGAGTTTTACAAACCGGGAGTGTTGCTTTAGGTCCTAAACACTCCACCTATTGACACAATATACGTTTTTACACAGCTGTACATAGAATACATCTGTATACATTTGGGGGCAGTTAAGTTCCAATAGAAACTCCTTATGGTCTTTTAGCGAATTAGACTAAATTGTTCATAGTCAAACGATTTAAATCAGATTGTCTCTTTGCCTGGCTTATTTACAGACATTCCTTTGGAAAAGGGCCCATTTTCTCTTCAGAATGGCTGCAAAGAAACCAAGAATTCTCTTTCTATAACACTTTTCCTTTTTAACATTTTTACAACGCTCAACTGCTTAATTCCCTCCAGCCTCTGCAGAGTTAACTTCTCACTCTTTTTTAATCACTCGCTTATCTCCCAAAATGACACCTTCATCAACTCGGATTTCACCATTCCAAGTATTGTTCCAGGGATCTGAATTCCCCATGGCCTAGACTTACTTTTTTTTCTTCTTTTGCCACTATGCCCTCAGGGCTTCCAACCTGTTTTCCAACTTTTTTATTTGTTGCCTACCTGCTTGTCTGGGCCTGACCCTGCTTTCCTCGCTGAACCATCCCTTTTCCATGGACACAGGCTTTATTCTACTACCAATTTAGCACAGAAGGTGGGCTCCTCAACTAGCCCCCACCCCTCCTGGTCCCTTTCCTTAATCATTTCTTTTTTTGTGAATTCATCACAATATCATTCACAAAAAATTACTACACTGCCCAAACTCCTATATCCTTCACAGTTTGGTTTAACAGAGCAAGATCTGTTTAAAAGGAGCAATCTCTTGAACAAAGTATCGTCTTTGAATCATAGAATCATAGAATATCAGGGTTGGAAGGGACCCCTGAAGGTCATCTAGTCCAACCCCCTGCTCGAAGCAGGACCAATTCCCAGTTAAATCATCCCAGCCAGGGCTTTGTCAAGCCTGACCTTAAAAACCTCTAAGGAAGGAGATTCTACCACCTCCCTAGGTAATGCATTCCAGTGTTTCACCACCCTCTTAGTGAAAAAGTTTTTCCTAATATCCAATCTAAACCTCCCCCACTGCAACTGGATTGCTTCCTTTTCAACATTTCTTACACAGGTCCTATCGCTATTTGTCCACGCTCCTATATCCTTCAGAGTTGGGTCTCGCATAGAAAATACTGCCTCAACATATTATTTTATGAATTTATTTTACCTTTATAACTTTTCCATGCCCACACTCATGCTGGGACTTACAAAACACAAAAGTCTATACCCACTAAAAACAACTCTGGCTGACAGAGCAGAGGGGGAAATGCTAAGCCCTCTACACTTTGGGCTTGATCCTGCTATGACTGAGGGTATATTCACCTATGCAGTTTTCCCCCGACAGACGTGTAGGAGCGAGGACTGTAACTCTCCCCTTTATGGCCCGGCACTTCTACGACTGGGGGTCAGAGGTGGCAGGTTTGTAGAAATTTTGGTGGTGCTCAGAACCTGCCCCACCAACTCTGCGCCCCCCCCCCCAAACTCCATCCCCCACCCACCTAAGGCTCTGGGAGAGAGTTTGGGTAGGGTGGTGGGGGGAGGAGGTCTGGGGTGCAGGCCCTGGGTTGGGGCAGGGGATTGGAGTGCAGGACAGGTGCGAGTTTGGGCTCTGGAAGGGAGTTTGGGTGGGGGAGGGGGTCTGCGGTGCAGGCTCTGGGATGGAGTTTGGGTGCTGGGTGCAGGAGGGGTGAGGGGTGCAGGCTCTGGGACAGAGATTGGGTGCTGGCTCTGGGGTGGGGGTGAAGGCTCTGGGAGGGAGTTTGGGGACAGGAGGGAGTGCAGAGGGAGGGGGTGCAGGTTCTGAAACGGAATTTGGGTGTCGGCTCTGGGCTTGGGCAAGGGGTGGGAGTGTAGGAGGGGGTGAGGGGTGCAGGCTCTGGGAGGGAGTTTGGGGGAAGGGGGTGGGGGTGCAGGCTCTGGGACGGAGTTTGGGTGCTATGTGCAGGCTCCAGGCTGGGGGGGCAGGAGGGGTGCAGGCTCTCGGACGGAGTTTGGGTTCAGGTTGGGAAGGGGTGGAGGGAGGGGGTGCAGGCTGTGGGAGGGAGTTTGGGGTCCAAAGGGGGGTACAGGCTCTGCGGGGCGGGGGGCTGCAGTACTTACCTGGGGCTCCTAGGCAGGGCAGGCCGGGAGTCTCCATGTGCTGCTACCCCCAGGCACTGCCCCGCAGCTTCCCATTGGTTGCAGGGGCACTTGGGTCAGGACACAGACCCACCCTGCCCAGGGGCTGCAGGGAGGGTCTGGCAGCCATGTGGAGTGAGCAGGGGGGAAGCAGTTCAGCTCCACTGCACTTCCAGTGGTGAGTGGGGGCCCCAGGCTGTTTTAAATGGCCCGAGGGATGTGCGGGGGGACCTGGGGGCGGAAGGTTGGGCCAAGGGAGAAGACCCAGCCCCAAACGTTGTTGGAGCTGGGCCAGGAATATTTCTGTTTTCCAGGCACCATGGGCCCATAGGACTTGCTGCCCATGCCAGGGGTGTATATACCTAGACAGTTCATATATGTCTTATCTGTATAGTTTTCCCCAACAGATAGGTTGGAGCTAGGACGCTAATTCTCCCCCTATTGCCTGGATCTTCTATGACTGGGGGTGTGCACACCTGAGTGATCGATCACTTTATATGTAAGGTATACTTTTTAGCAATATGGAGCAGTATGTTAAACAATCCTAGTGCATGTCTTCACCCTTTTGCAATTCTCCACCAAAAATGTTATGCTTATAAGAAGCACATGGGATCTTTTTCAGGGGAAAAAGCAATATGCTGCCTTTATTGAAGATACAACAATTAGTATATGCATTCAGTCACACCACACACAAAAACACTCTCCTGCCAGTCGATGTTATAGTTACCAGCAGCCAGCTAGGTTGATCCCTGGTAGGGAGGAGCCAATTTCCATTGGTCACTACACAATGCTCCAGGGAAGTCTTGGCAGGATGAACCCAAAGTTTCATGGCAAGGCACCCTGTTTATATAATGATTTTCCTTCATTGGGACCAATGAGTTTTCCACCGTCATACTGTCATCAATTGTTGTTTGATGAGTGCTTATTTTTTTTAATTGTCCTTCTCAACCTTTATCTTGTTCTTTCATCAAGTCCCTCAGGGAGTTATCCCATGCTGGTTTTGATCACAGCTATCTTGTCCCCACTGATAAGTGACTGTCTCATCTTTAGAGTCGTCAATCTGCCCTTCTCTGACATTTCATTAGGGGCGTGTGGCAGCCTCCTGGCACCCTTGCGTCTGTCTCTGGTTCCTCCTTTGTACATCTGGTTCAGCGATGGCCTTCATACTTATCTCTTAAAACACACATTCCTCATTCACACAAAACAGAATTAATTTACACACAACATTTTGAACAGGAATATCAAATTCCAATGCAAAAGAAAACAATCATGGCATTCTTTTAGTTATTTTAAAATGCTAAACCTACAACAAATTGGTGACCCTCAAAGGTCTGTTACTGCCTTGAAATCAGTCCAGATACAGATTCTGGCTGATGGATCTCTACCCGTTGGCCCATTAGGCCATTCCTTTCTGTTGTTCAAAAAGGGTGACTGGCAGGATATGATCAGATCATACACCAATACATTTCATAGAATCATAGAATATAAGGGTTGGAAGGGACCCCAGAAGGTCATCTAGTCCAACCCCCTGCTCGAAGCAGGACCAATTCCCAGTTAAATCATCCCAGCCAGGGCTTTGTCAAGCCTGACCTTAAAAACCTCTAAGGAAGGAGATTCTACCACCTCCCTAGGTGGTAATACATTTAATACATGCTACATTCTTATCCTTTATCCTTCATTCTAAATTACATAAAATGCAAACTTAAAATCCTACTACTACATTTGGGGGAAGAGTTTGGGGGAGTTAAGTTCCTGATTTTTATTTGACCTCTCTCCAGCACTTGTTTTGGTTTGACCTTCCCCTTTCCATCCCTGTTTGAGGTTTCTGTTTCTATCACAGCAGGTGATGCAATGGCATGTGACAAAGAGGAGCAGAATTCTCAGCAGGAAAATGTTGAGCAAGTGGATAAAGACAGAACACTATTGCAAAGACCAAAAAGGAATGTGTCCAGGAGTCATGAGCAGGAAAAATCCTCTGAGATTCAGCACAGACCAGAAAGAGAGCAGGGAAACCAGCCAGGGGAGGAAGTGGGTAAATTAATTTTGTGTCAAGGAACTCAGAAGGACTTCAAGGAAACCACAACGCAGCAGGAAATCCTCAGGGGAAAGAGAAAAAATACATGCACTGAGTGTGGGAAAACCTTACGTCACTACTCAGCCCTTATAAAGCATCAGAGAATCCACACAGGTAAGAAACCCTGTGAATGCAGTGAGTGTGGGAAAACCTTCAAACGCAGCTCAAACCTTATTACCCATCAGAGAATCCACACTGGGGAGAGGCCATATAAATGCAGTGAGTGTGGGAAAACCTTCAATCACAGTTCACACCTTATTACCCATCAGAGAATCCATACAGGAGAGAGGCCATATAAATGCAGTGAGTGTGGGAAAACCTTCAATCACAGTTCACACCTTCTTAGGCATCAGAGAATCCACACAGGAGAGAGACCCTATGAATGCAGTGAGTGTGGGAAAAGCTTCACTTGCACTTCAGACCTTTTTCAACATCAGAGAATCCACACAGGGGAGAGGCCCTACGAATGCGGTGAGTGTGGGAAAACCTTCACTACCAGCTCAGCCCTTTCTGAACATCAGAGAATCCACACCGGCGAGAGGCCTTATAAATGCAGTGAGTGTGAAGAAAGCTTCCCTAGGAGTTCAGCCCTTTCTGAGCATCAGAAAATCCACACCGGTGTGAGACCCTATGAATGCACTGAGTGTGGGAAAACCTTCAATCGCATCTCGACCCTTATTAGGCATCAGAGAATCCACACAGGGGAGAGGCCCTATGAATGCAATGAGTGTGGGAAAAACTTCACTCACAGATCAGCCCTTTCTGAACATCAGAATATCCACACTGGTGTGAGACCCTATGAATGCACTGAATGTCGGAAAACCTTCAATCGCAGCTCGAACCTTATTAGGCATCAGACAATCCACACAGGAGAGAGGCCCTATAAATGCAGTGAGTGTGGGAAAAGTTTCACTTGCACTTCAGACCTTTTTCAACACCAGAGAATCCACACAGGGGAGAGGCCTTATGAATGCCATAAGTGTGGGAATACCTTCTCTTGGCACTCAGCCCATGTTAGGCATCAGAGAATCTGCAAGGGAGATCAACACCATAAAAACCTCTAGGGCTATGCATACTTTTTTTTATTTAATACTTTTCCTGATTCCCACATAGTAACTTTTAAAGCTGTTTGAACTGTTTGCAGTAACATTATCCCTTAGCTTGTCCAGATGAGTGGCCCATTTTTGCCTTTTGATGTTCACCCTGTTTTGAAGTTGACCCATTTGTCCTTCCTATCAACTCCATTGTCCCATGAGTAATTCAAGTGTCCCCTTCCTACCAGGAGCCAGGGAGCGTCACATTTACACCATTCCTGTTGCAAAGTTATTGTTAGTCACCCATGATACAGTTTGTATCATTGCCAGTTGTTCTCGCGTTGTTCTGGGTTGTGCTGAAGAGCAGTTATATTGGGAACTTTTCAAATGATATTTAAATGAAGAGGAGCAGGGGCAAGAAAAAGTGTCCTTTCAGCCTCTGTGACACTGGAAGGAGATGGGGAGACTCAGAGATTCCCTACTTCCCCATCACTGCAGAACTGTTACCTTTTGTCTGAGCCATGCAGAGTTTATCTTCATCACATGCTATCCCTCCACTTCTCAAAGTGTCATGTGAGGAAGAGTTCTCATCTGTCTGTGCTTGGAGATGATGCTTTGGCTTCTTTAATCCTATATCAGAGTCACTATGACTGGAGATGAATGTCAAAGACCTGGAAGGGGAATTCAAATGGATCCCAAACACAGTGTGATCATTTGGAGTTAAAAATCCCAGGTTCCATCTATTGGTAAAGCCACTTCTGGCAAGGTGGCTGTTTTGTCCCCCATTATTTGGATGCTAGGATACTAAAAATGTTGTAAATAACACAACTGACTATTGAGACAATGCTGAGTGAAGTATGTTTGAATGGATCAGAGGAGAATGTGATGGGAGAATCTCTTGTCCTGATTCTGAATAATCAGACGTAACCTGCTCCAGAATTTCACTTGACACTTTCATTGTCATGTATTCTATCTCTCTGTGATGTGCATTTCTATTTTTCCTGAAGGCTGTTTGGTCAACCAATTGGATATTCAGTTTGATAGGATATAGCTCAGATTTATTGGAGAATTTAAGACAAATGACCATTTGCTAAAGTCATAGTTTCTCACTTCAGCTTTGCTTTTTCCCCACCCCTCCATGATGACATGGAGAAAGTTCGAGTGCAGTTCTGTTAACAGGGGAGAACTTGCCAATTTACTGGACATGCTAACAGAGAAACAGCAGCGATTTAAAACCTCTACTTGGAAATGGTGAACAACAGCAGAACCCCAACTAATTGGAGGAAGTGCATGTGATCACAGTGTAGTTCAATTGTTGAAGTCAATATTGTCTCTGATGATCTGGGAAGAGAATTTCATGGTAAGTGATTTTGAACTAGGCAAAATGCCCATGTATTTTATTCCCAAAGCATGTGTAACCCAGGCCCAACAGAAGATCTCTCCTAGCTAATCTTGTATTATGGAAGATGCTGCCCTTCATGACACTGAAGTTGAGGAAATAGAAGTGGGGTTTTTGTTGAATTTATCTTTTGTGGATGCTAAAAATGTGTATAAAATTAAATCAGTTTTGGAAATCTAATAGCTGCAGAAAAATAGCTATTTTTGAATAGAAACTCCAGCTCTGGTAACAGAGATTCTGATTCAGGCCTGTATCCACCAAATTAAAAAAAAGCTGGGCATGTTTTGGGAAGCCATTTCTCACTAACACTGTTGAGATTTTGAGTGGTTTTGTAAAGGATTCTACTTCAGAGATGTCATAAATATAAAGGGAAGGGTAACCACCTTTCTGTATACAGTGCTATAAAATCCCTCCTGGCCAGAGGCAAAACCCTTTCACCTGTAAAGGGTTAAGAAGCTAAGATAACCTTGCTGGCAACCTGACCCAAAATGACCGATGAGGAGACAAGATACTTTCAAATCTGCAGTGGGGCGGGGGGGGACTAAGGGTTTGGTCTGTCTGTGTGATGCTTTTGCCAGGTACAGATCAGGAATCTAGCTGGAACAGGCGTTAGATTTTCTTTTGTTTAATGGCTTGTAAAATAAGCTGTGCTGGAGGGAATGTATATTCCTGGTTTTGTGTGTTTTTGTAACTTAAGGTTTTGCCTAGAGGGATTCTCTGTTTTGAATCTGATTACCCTGTAATCCTGATTTTACAGAGGTGATTCTTTTACCTTTTTTTTAATTAAAATTCTTCTTTTAAGAACCTGATTGATTTTTCATTTTTCTTAAGATCCAAGGGTTTGGGTCTGTGTTCACCTGTACCAACTGGTGAGGATTATTATCAAGCCTTCACGAGGAAAGGGGGTGTAGGACTTGCAGGGGGGAATATTTTGGCAGAAGACGTCTCCAAGTGGTCTCTTTCCCTGTTCTTTGTTTAAAATGCTAGGTGGTGGCAGCATACTCAAGGACAAGGCAAAGTTTGTAGCTTGGGGAAGTTTTTAATCTAAGCTGGTAAGCATAAGATTAGGGGGTCTTTCATGGAGGTCCCCACATCTGTACCCTAGAGTTCAGAGTGGGGAAGGAACCTTGACAAGAGAACTGTAAATTTACCCTAACCAATGCCAAGGATTTGGGAAGAACTGGGATTGAAAGAGTCCACACCCAGTTCTTCGTTTCCACCCCAGTAAAGGAAACTATGGTGACCAATGACCCAAGGAAAATTGTTTGTACAACTCCACTTCCTAGTGCAGTGTCACTGATTACAGTTCCAGAGGATACCAGGGTTAGACTGAGAACAATCATCCTTCATTGTTTGGATCCAAAGAGAGAGTGCTTCATAGGACATTCCTTCCCCGTGGATCCCAAACTGGCTGCCTGAGTGGGTAACAAGGACTTTCAGGCTGTAGAAATGATGGAAACCAATGAGGCAACGATCGTGTCAGGCTCCAATTTCAGACTTCCGGATACTCGCATGCTGAGTCCTGATTCTCTGGTTTTGTGTCTGACGCGACGGCTACACAATAAAGCTGATGTTGGCGCAGCTGCACCGATTTGTAGCTGTGCTGGTCTAGCATTGTTATTACAGATGCTCTCTGCCAAGGAGAGAGATCTCTCCCGTCGGACTTGATTAGTCCAGGCCCCGCAAGCGGCGGTGGCTGTGTTGGCAGGAGAAGCTCTCCCGCTGACGTAGCGCCATGTACACGGGGGGTTAGAGCTTTGTAACTACGTAGCTCAGCGGTGTGGATTTTTCACACCCCTGAGCAATATAATAGCGTAAGGAGTTCTGGTAGAAAACCTCACCCCAAAGGTTGGGGTCGGAGAATGTGTGTGAGAAATAGTGTATATGAGAGAATATTGGCCCAGTATAGATTTTAATTTTTTGTATTTCAATAGAACTTATTTTGCTAAGCTTCAAAGTCCATTTTTATTAAAAGGAAAACTACTCAAGGGGACAAGATGTATAACCTTTTACCCACTTAGACTGTAAGGGTCACTGACTTCCCCACTTCTCTAATTTGGAAAAGAGATGCATGACATCTGTCAGGATGTGTCCAGCAGCTAGGAAAGCTGCAATCACCACCATCAATATCAAGGAAAAGGCTGAAGTCCATTGGCTTTCATATCATAGAATCATAGAATATAAGGGTTGGAAGGGACCCCAGAAGGTCATCTAGTCCAACCCCCTGCTCGAAGCAGGACCAATTCCCAGTTAAATCATCCCAGCCAGGGCTTTGTCAAGCCTGACCTTAAAAACCTCTAAGGAAGGAGATTCTACCACCTCCCTAGGTATCAAAAAGCCATCTAAAGGATGATCTACTCTGAAAAGCTATGTGGACATAGCCACAACTCTCAGGGGTGTGAAAAATCCACTCCACTGAGAGAAGTAGTTAATATGACCTGAGCTCCAATGTAGACAGTGTTAAGTTGTCAGAAGAATACTTCTAGTGTTTGAAGTGTAGACGTAGCCTTAATCAGTTTAGTCAGCCCTATGGGAAGCAAGTCATGACATCAATTTCAATTTTGACCCTTCTTCCTGTTTGTGAGAAAGCTCCTAATATGGAGGGCTGAGCCAGCTGTCCAATCGCCTGGTTTCTCAACTGTAGCTACAGCTCTTAGTACCCATCCATCCAAAGACTGAGAGAAATGGAGAGTTCCAATCGTTGTCATTTTTGTAGCTTATTGTTCCTTTCTCTGTTTTTTGTGCTGGCCTTTCTGTTATACCAGGGTGTGACTGTATAGCTCAGTGCATGTGTGACAAAAGCTCATTGGTGCCAATTGGCAAAGGGGTCATGGTTATTCAAAAGCAACTCCTGTCTCAGGCCTGACAAACTCGCCACACCTAATACACTGATTTTATTATATTTATCCAGGAAGCATAGCAGTGAGATTTCTACCGAAAGCTTGTAAATTATTCTTACTCCTAATCAGTAGCCAGTCATGCAATGTATTGTGCAATTGTCAACCTTTGCACCAACCCAGAAAACCCTGTGGAAAACTATCAAAGACTAACTATAGACACTGAAACCCTGTGGAAGTGAAAAGGACAATATGACAATGAGATTGTCCTTTCTGTGAATAAAGACAAAAGACTTAATCAGTTTATAACAGGGTGGAGAAAAACACTCTGGATCTATTCACCAAGGATATCCCTAATGACCAGTCGTGCTTCATGAAAGGCAGGGCCCTGTCTCCTAGGGACTAGCAATTACCGCAATAGACTGAAGTTTGAAGTGAGAATCTACTTAGATAGGAAAGGTAACTATTAAAAAGTGTAGGTTGCATTTTGTGATTTTGTTCTGTTGGTAACGGTTGATTTCCATCACTCACGTTTGTTTGTGTTTAAATCTGTATCCCTTGTTAAATAAATTTTCCATTTCTTTGATAACTGTGCTCAAGTACTGTGTGTGATGCAGGAGCAGTGGTCTACAGTAAAACTGGTAACCTGGGATGTACCATTGCTTCGGTAAGAGAGTATCTGGGATTCTTCTAAGTATTTGGTGATCAGGGCTGGACCCGAGAGGGGGACACATTGAAGGAACATGGGGGTTAGGTTACCTCTATTGTCAACTGGCAGGGCTGCTGTGGCTCAGAGGATGGGTCTTGGAGGGCAGACAGGCCGGTGAGTTTGGTCGCTAACATCCGGCTACCAAATGTAAAAGTCCCTCTTCCTAATGGCAGGTGCCAACAAGGAGACTCTCAGCCCTCAGCAGCCTGAGAAGGGTCACAGTGTGCATCTAGGTTGATCCACCTGTCAAATCCACACAGGGAAAGCACCCTACAGCATAGCTCCCTGAATCAAAATAGCCCTAAAACTCTGCCGTATGAAATCATGGAACATTTGCTCTTCGCTCTGTGAAAGCATGTAAAGAATCTAAGCGTTGGAGGGTAGGGATTGGGTCCAGAGTGAGCTAGAAAGATTGGAGGATTGGGCCAAAATAGATTTGATGAGGTTCAACAAGAACAAGTGCAGAGTCTTGCACTTAGGACGGAAGAATCCCATGCACTGCTACAGGCTGGGGACCGACTGGCTAAGCAGCAGTTTTGCAGAAAAGGACCTGGGGATTACAGTGGATGAGAAGCTGGATGAGTCAACAGTGTGCCCTTGTTGCCAAGAAGGCTAATGGCAAATTGCTCTGCATTAGTCAGAGCATTGCCAGCAGGTCGAGGGAAGTGATTATTCCCCTCTATTTGGCACTCATGAGGCCACATCTGGAGTACTGAGTCTAGTTTTGGGTCCCGCACTACAGAAAGGATGTGGACATATTGGAGAGAGCCCAGTGGAGGGCAACAAAAATGATTAGGGGGCTAGGGCACATGACATAGGAGGAGAGGCTGAGGGAACTGGGCTTGTTTAGTCTGCAGAAGAGAAGAGAGAGGGGGGATTTGATAGCAGCCTTCAACTATCTGAAGGGGGGTTCCAAAGATGAGGGAGCTCAGCTGTTCTTACTGGTGGCAAATGACAGAACAAGGATCAATGGTCTCAAGTTGCCGTGGGGGAGGTCCAGGTTGGATATTAGGAAACACTATTTCCCCAGGAGGGTGGTGAAGCACCTAGGGAAGTGGTGGAATCTCCATCCTTAGAGGTTTTTAAGGCCCAGTTTGACAGAATCCTGGCTGGGATGATTTAGTCAGGGTTGGTCCTGCTTTGAGCAGGGGGTTGTACCAGATGACCTCCTGTGGTCTCTTCCAATCCTAATCTTCTAGGATTCTAAGCACCTGCAAGTAGTCCCCAAATGTTTCTTTGTGTTCACATATGTACAGGTTTTATGCTATACAAAACCAAGGGGATCTTTATAGGGGAGAAGGGAACACGCTGCTTTTATTGAGAATACAACAGTTAGCATATGCTTTTCAGTCACACACACATGCACATCATACACACAGTCCTGCCAATTGATGTTTTTATAGTTACCAATCTGTTGTAGCTTGAGTTGATCTAATGGCCAGTTAGATTGAAGACGAGTGAGGAGCTGGGCTCTGTTGGTCGCGATCCGATGCTCCAAGGTTTTGGCAGGACTGAACCCATGGAGTACTAATCCATTATGCTCTGCATGCACGGATTCGAATCCCATCCTCATTGGGTGCATTTAGTCCAGTAGGCCCCAACCTTTCTATGGGAATAGCACATTCCTATTCCCAACAGACTGTGGTGGGTGCCAAACACCCCGTCGCTGAAATGCGGCCGAGAATCGGCAACGGTTCTCGGCATTTCGGCGGGTGGGTCTCAGGTGGCTGCATCAGTGGCGGCATTTCAGCGGCGCATTATCCTGCGGGTGCACACAACTGCCCCGGCAGGCGCCATTGTGCCCATAGGCACCGCATTGGGGACCCCTGATTTAGTCTTTTCCCCTCCTTGACAAACAACCTTTGGTACAATGACTGACTAAACAACGTTGCTTCCTCCAAACAAAAAGCTTCTCAAGAACTCAGACTTCCCTTGCTTATGGGGGGGGGGGGGACGGACAGCTCAGTGGTTTGAGCATTGGCTTGCTAAACCCAGGGGTGTGAGTTCAATCCTTGAGGGGGCCATTAGGGATCTAGGGCAAAAATCGGGGATTGGTCCTGCTTTAAGCAGGGGGTTGGACTAGGTGACCTCCTGAGATCTCTTCCAACCCCGATATTCTAAGCTCAGGTTTAGATTTATTTATAATAAATAATTGTTTGATTCTAGTGTCACAATCAATACAGTTGCTTCAGACTGATAGTTTCCCAGAGGGAAAACTTCACTTCTCTCCAAAGGGAGTTGAAGGAATGCACTTTTCAGAGTCCAAGACAAAACACTTCATCAGTTCTGTGTAGCCCAGAAGGTTGTCTCTTCCATAAACAGCAGTTGGAACTTAAGAACAGAGATACTGAGTCAGACCAGTTCATGTAGCCTACTATCCTGTCTTCCAACAGTGGCCAGTGCCAGCTGCCCCAGAGGGCATGAACAGAACAGGTCATCATCAAGTGATCCATCCCCTGTTGTCCATTCCTAGCTTCTGGCAAACAATGGCTAAGGACACCATCCCTGCCCATCCTGGCTAATAGCAATTGATGGATCTATCCTCCATGCACTTCTCTAGTTCTTTTTTTGAACTCTGTTCTAGTCTTGGCTTTCACAACATAACTCTGGCAAAGAGTTCCTCAGGTAAACTGTGCATTGTGTGAAGAAATACTTCATTTCAAGCCTGCAGCCTATTCATTTCATTTGGTGACCCCTCTTTGTTCTTGTATTATAAGAAGGAGTAAATAACGCTCCCTCCCTTGGACCTTTGAAATATATTATGTGAGGCCCCCCCGTCTCTCATATCCAGGGACCAACACGGATATAACAACACCACAAACAACAAGGTTCAATGTCAATGCACATGGGAGAAGCATCTTGTGTTTCATGCCTTACGTCCCAGTCCCATTGTATGGCCATTTCCTTTCCCTTCTTTCTGTTAAAGGCTTTTGTGTTTTGCCCAGAAACAACATTTCCACAGGAGACACCCAGGAGTGGGGGCTGCATTCCTGTACCAAACAATCACTAGAAGGAGGCAGACAAAGGCCTTTAAGATGAGGTGTCCATCACTGTAAAAATATCATCTACCTCCTGCAGGTGACTGGCAGCCTGAATTTGTTCCTTATTCCTCCCAGAGTCTTGTCTGGAATCAGACCTATCCAGCTCCTCTCTATGTAGCAGGAAAAAACACAAACCTTGTCTTTAAAACAAGCTGTCCCCTTCCTTCTCAGGGAAAATTTTTCTATGTTTGAAATTGAGCTTCAGTTCCCCTCTCCTAGGGGCGGGTTGGGTGTGGGGCCAGCTCCCAATGAGCTCTGTTTTCACCTTTGCCCCCTTTCAGTCACTCTGGGATGGTAACTCTGCTCCCAGCTGTCAGGCGACCTCCACCACATCCAGCCTGCTTACTAGCTCCATGGTTATGTGTCACCGCCTTTGCGAGCACACACAGCATGCAGGAAGGGCGGTCGTGCTAGGTGCATTGGTCGCATAGTGGTGCACAGAGCTGCCTTCCAAGCAGTTGACCTGGGTTTGAGCCTGGAACACTAGGTCTACTTCTTTGTTGTTTCCTTGTCTGGAAGTGGTTTAATTTCAGTCACATTGTGTTGTAATCACATTATCAATAGAATGAGACAATACATTCCCCAAATGTCATACAGGTCATACAGGATGGAGGTACACAAGGGGTTGGAACATACAGGGAGCTGCAGTGCACATCCTTGTGTCATCAGAGAAAGACAACGCTTGGAAACCTGCAGCTCCCATCCCCTTGCCTTCACTGGTCTGATTCCAGAGGCGTGCGATGTTTGCATGATGTTCCTGCATGATGGGGAAATAAAGTTTTGGGTCAGTTTTTGCTCCTGCAGATTCCTTTGCTGTTACAATTATAATGACATGAACGAAAGGGAGGCAAAATAAAAATAAACCCAAAATTGCAATACTGGTAGGGAAAGAGAAGATCACGGTTAAACCAAACACTTCAAAATAAAAATTAATACTAAAGAGGGGGAGGGGAGAAGCGATCAAGTGTGTGGTAATCCCCTTGATATTTGAACTCACGTTGCTAGAATCAAAGTTTAGACTTGACACTGTGGAAAACCTACAACTACCCAGCTCTCTGAACGCCTGTGATGAGCAAGCTCGAGTTGGGACATCTCTTCTGCTTCAATCATTTATTGTCTCACTGTGTTCTCCGTCTCTTTCTTCTCCCCCCATTTCTCTTCTCCAGTGTCTCGGCCTTTCTCCTCTTGCTCCCTCTGCCCCTGTCCTTTCCCAGGAACTCACCGACTACAGCTTCTAGGAAAAGCCAGAGCTTCCATGTTCTGCACATGATCCTGTGTCAGAGGACATGTGGCTCAGGTCAGAACCAGTCACCAGAACAAATTGAACCTTTATTGGAAACTTTTCTGCCTGTTACCCAAATTACACGCCCACCACCGCTAAAGGGGGGTGGAGGGGTGGGGTACAGCTCTGACTGAGAGGCCTCACAGGAGAAATTTCAGCACAAAGAAAATGTGTGTGAAATGTTGGGAAGTGAAGAGCCACTGGGTCACACTAGAGTTCCCCCAATCCCCAGAACTCTAGTGTGACCCAGTGGCATGAGCACAGGGAATCCGGTGGGATGGGGTTACAGAACAGAAGGGAGGAGGCAGCGGGGGGGGGGGGGGAGAGGTGACAGGGAGTCTCTCTTTTTCCTTCGCTCTTCACTTTCTCTTCCTCTCTTTCCTTCCAGGAACGGCAGCCACAGCAGGGAGGGGTTTGTCTCATTGTAAGGGATCCTTGTTTGTCATGGATGTGGAGGAAGTGACAGATTCTGTGACTTCCTGCGACCTCCGTGACTTCTGCAGCGGCCACTGTGGCTCACTCCAGGGTTGGCAAAGTAGCTGCCGATGCGGCTGGCC